TTTCAGACCGTTGGGTTTCGAAAGTAATTTCAAAACGGCGATTTGATGCGTTTGGAAAGATAGTGTGAGACGCGAACTCTTATGGGCCTCTAATGGGCTGAGATCCATACTAGTCCAAATGAATGTCACACAATCTGATTTGCTTAACTATCAATGAATATCATCCAATCTGATTTAATCATTTACCAATCCATAACAATACCTAAAATACATTAAGGCTCTGAATAGTTGTATAATCGACTTACAACACTTCAAAATAATTTAGGACAAACGATATATGTTTTTTTTTTTATAAACCGTAGGAGTTCCGAACCTTTCATTCATAATTTTTTCGGTTATCGCAGGCAATATTTGGATATTCCAATTTAAAAAATAATCTTTCATACTAAAGAGAGTTTGAATCCGGAAGACAAATAAACTAATCCCTTTTATGTTACCATCACACATTTGGTCAAACGATATATGTTAGTATGCATTAAACAATAATTACGTACTAAAATATCAAATCAGTTGGATCAACATTTGATATGTTGAGAGATCAAATATCCATTCAAAGCCTAAATTTAAGAAAGAAAAAACCATCGATTCAATACCACCCAGCCCTTAATCAGTTTTTCTATGGATACAAAGAGACACGCAGAGTCGTTGGCTTACCACTAATCTAATTCTCACCTAAAACAAAAATATAACCGTCCACGTGTCATCATCGTAAAGTGTCACAACACAACCTTTCGAATTTCTTTGTTTTGTTTTGTAAGAAAAAAAAAAACACTAAAATGAATAATTTTTTAGCTATGGGTGCGTAACCTCGTTCCCAGTTCCCACTCCACATCAAACAAAAACTGTGTAATAATCACCTGATCTTCCCAAACAATCAATTCGCAGATCTGGTTTTTGATCATCATCGTATCGAAAAGTTCCTAAAAGGTTTCGACTTTAGCTCTCTTTTTCTTTTCTAAGAAACAGAATTTTGATGAACGGATCGAAGATGAAGGCGGCGAAGAGGCCGATTCACGCCGTGACGACATGGGTTCGTCGGCAACCACCAAAGGTTAAAGCTTTTCTCGGTGTTGTTTCAGCCATGACTGCTCTTGTTCTGTTGAGAGTGATTGTTCACGACCACGACAATCTTTTTGTCGCTGCTGAAGCTGTTCATTCCCTTGGAATCTCCGTTCTCATCTACAAACTCATGAAGGAGAAAACTTGCGCAGGTATAATTTCTGGGTTTCTAGGTTTAGAATCTTATAATCCTATCCGATGCGATTTGGGATTAGGGTTTCTGAATTTAGGACATTTTTGCAGGAACATGTCGATTGGATTTGAGATTGGAAGCGGTTTGGTAGTGAATTGATTGCAATCTTTGTTTTTGTTTGTTTGACAGGATTGTCTTTGAAGTCGCAAGAGCTAACGGCTCTGTTTTTGGCGGTGAGATTGTATTGTAGTTTTGTGATGGAATTTGATATTCACACATTGCTTGATTCGGCTACATTGGTGACTACACTTTGGGTTATCTATATGATCCGTTTTAAGCTCAAAGCTAGTTACATGGAAGACAAAGACAATTTCGCTATCTACTACGTCGTAAGTTGTTCGTCCTTCTTTGTTGAAATTCTCGGTTTAGATCTCAACTTGTGTCTTTCAAGAATGTGAATCATATATTTGAAAATGTTAGGTTGATTATATCAATTCATTTCCATATTAGATCATACAATTATCAGCTTTTCCTTACTTAATAGTAATACAGATCATTTTGTAAGATTTCCTTAGCGAATATCGATTTGAGTTGGATTGTAGAAATGACTTGCTATCTAGTTTTATTAGTAATAATGTTTCCGAGCTTTTTTATATGTGGCTGCAGGTTATTCCATGCGCTGTTCTATCAATCCTCATTCACCCATCAACACATCATCATATAATCAATAAGATTTCGTGGGCATTCTGCGTTTACCTTGAAGCTGTTTCAGTCCTTCCTCAACTTAGAGTCATGCAAAACACTAAGGTACTTTAAAGAAAAGCTCAAAACCAGTCTCTATCCTTAACCGATTCAAACTAGTTACGTGTGTCGTGTCTCAGATCGTGGAGCCATTCACAGCACATTACGTATTTGCGTTGGGGATAGCTAGGTTCTTGAGTTGTGCACACTGGGTTCTTCAGGTTTTCTTCCTTTTTTCTCTCCTCCAAAACTATAAAGCTCCATATATGTGAACTAGATTTGTAGTATATGATAATAATCTGATGATGTTGTAGGTTTTGGATACTCGAGGGCGGTTATTGACTGCTTTAGGATATGGGTTTTGGCCTATAATGGTCCTCCTCTCTGAAATCATCCAAACCTTCATTCTCGCCGACTTCTGCTACTACTATGTCCAGAGGTAAAAAAAAAATCATTATCGTTTTTGCTCATCATCACCTTTGTAATCATGTGATGGCTGATATCTAAACTTGACATTGATGTGTGTTCTAAATATTTTATGGTTTTCGGTGTTTGGCAGTTTAATGGGTGGTCAACTCGTTCTTCGTCTCCCATCAGGCGTTGTGTAAAATTTGGTTAAGATGAGATAAGAAGATACGGTGTGCGCTTATGGTATGGTATGGTATGGAGTTAGGCTCTATGGTTTTGCAAGCCATCGTTTTAGTTTCTCTTAACTTTTTTTCTCTTACGGTTTAATGTTTTTTCTTGGAGGATTGTAAAGAAAAAAAGGGAGTTGATTAGAGATTTTGACAAATTAATAATATATTAGTCTCTCAACTTTTAATCTATAATGGTTTGATTGGTGGTAACACACGACAATATAAATTTTTTGACGAGACGATGATAGTTCAGTTAGGAGCAGTATGAAGAAAAATGATAAGATATGACAGTATAATAAAAACAGTTTCTATTTTGTTTACCATTTTGTTAATTGGTTACACAAGTGACTACATAAGCAACTGTTATATAGTTTATGTATTTGGCAGAAACAACTAGATGAATGTGTTGGTGTTGGATTAATATTTTGTTGGAACGAATTACATTAGTTACGATTTAAGACTCAATATAGATGAGATGATGATTTAACTAAAAACTCTAGTTCTCCCTCGTCTCCAGCCGTCGTGACGTGAACAGTAACTCTTCAAAGTCCTAAAGATCTAGGTCCGATGACCGGCAGCTTCCGTAGCGCCGGTGACCGGCGGCTTTCGTTGCGCTGGTGTCGGCCCCTTCGGTTGTCTATGTTTTCTCTATTGTAGTTTCTCTGTTTTGTCAAAGGGTTTCAAAGTAGATCTCAGCCTCCTCGTGATCTGCTTTCGTCATGCACCTCTCTTTGTTTTGCCGTTTGGTCCTTTGAATCGTTATTTTTAGGTTCTTCCTTGTTCCTTTTGCCTAGTCTTCGGATAACTTTGCTGCTGCTTTAGTTTTATCGATTCTGGACTCTTCAACACTTTGGTTTGGTTGCTAATTTTACTAGGATTTAGACTTCGACCGGTATCTATGATTCGAGTTATAGACAATCTATGGGCCATTGATCTCTGGTTTTAATTTTTGTGCTTAATCGGAGTTTTTTGGCAAGGTTTTGATCGGGTCCTTTATCCTAGTATCACCTTATCTCACTAAGAATCAGAGTGGGGCACGAACAATAGTTTGAGATTAGGTCTGTTATCTCTCCTTCAAGACTAATAAGGTTTTGTGGTTGTCTACCTTTCAATTTTTCTTAGATCAGTCGTCTTTTGGTTATCGTTTTTTTCGTTTGGGATGCTAGTTTTCTGAACTTTAGTGTGACTTTGTTTAGATGTTTAGCTAGTTTTAGGTTAAAATCAGATTGATCCGCCTCGTATTTTACCTCGTATTCTATTTTGTATTCTGCTTAGTATTTGACTATGTATTCCACTTGTTTTTAATGAAATTTTCAGATGGCTAGAAAAAAAATAAATGAGATGATGATTGATGCTATTATTGTTTGCTTTTATTTCACCAATATCTTAACCATTAATCACTGTATTTGTTAATTACATTAAATTACAAAGTTATCAAGCCTTAGCTTATCCAAATTTTGTTTTTATATTCGACTCTTTTGGTGGCGGCTACAGCTAGACTCTGTAATCATAACATCACCTAATACATATTCCACCAAAGTTTTCATATATTATACAAATTTCAGTGAATAAGTCAGATATCGTTCGGATTTTTATTTGTTTCTAATTGGTCTACCGAATGTAATCAGAAAATCTGATATTTTTCTTCATGCAATTCCTTTTTAAAAGATGAAATATAATTATGTGGTCACTAGATGATTCGATTGGTGTTTGGTATCGACGGATACAGATAAAGATAGTGCATGGCAAGGAAAAAAAAATGGCTGTGAAAAGAACAAAGAAGTATGGACTAAAGCCATTTGCTTAAAAGAACCACCTTTCTTACAAAAACGTAATTCCTAAAATGAATATATACCAATTTAATTTTTTTAAAGTCAGTAGAAATTACGAACTTTTGGGGATGCGTATTCGCGACTGTGATTCATAATGGCTTTTACGGGGTACTAGGATAGTATCTTTTTAATTTATTGCTAATTTTCAGGTTAAACCTAATCGAATGGAATAGTAAAATATAGCAAAAAGATCGAATTACTAAACGAATGGTGGTTTAATAGTTTAGAGAATAAATATTTAAAATCACTAATTCAATTTCATTTATAAAAAACAACTACGTTCTAAACACGATATTATCAACGAATGGTTCTGTCTACTAAAAAAGAATATGGACCAAATGCATAGAATTCCCAAGATTTGTCTAAAAAGAAACATCCAATTTTCTTTGCTAATTGCGTATCTTACAGTAACTTGAGAGATATAGATGCATATAATCATACAATTAGTTTGATGTTTTAGGAAATCAATAGATTAAAAGTATGAGGAAGAGCTATAATAGTTCAATTGAGATATCTAGATTTATGGACGACGACTATGGTTTCCGTGTTCACCGACATTAACCCATTGCATTTCTTAGACTTTTAGCGTTGGTTTGAATGTTTGATGTGTCTTCACCCTAGTCTTTTGTGCTGTATCTTTTAAAAGTTGAGAAATTTCAAAAAGTACCACTTTTCAAATGTCACTTTTCAAAAATGCCATAGTTTCAAAACTTCTGTAAAAATACCATTTTTTCAAAAAAAAAAATTTCATGTATCATTTATGTTTGAGTTAACTATGTTGTATTAGAGTTTAGTTTCGAAGGTTTAAAAGGTTTTAAGGGTCAAAACATTT